ATAGCGCCCCTCACTGGTGGCCTTTGAACACAGGGGTCTTTGGTCCGGTTATGCTTTCATTTTTGGGTTTTCCTGATTTTGATCTTTCTAATTGGATTATGAAGTCTTGGTGCTCTTTCTCTAATTTTATCTGTTCTTTGAGAAGTTCAAGTTTGCCTTTTAATTCCTTTCTGGGGTCAGAAGCTGAACACGCCGAAGGAGGCGCGCTGGGGTCGGTGCTATACGGCGGAGGGCGCTGAACCTCGGGCGGCCCGTCTCGGCCTGACACCCAGCGGCTGCCTCCGCCAGTTTGTCCCAATCCACTTCATTATAATCGGCTTCAACTTGAAGAGGTTTTGGTAGTTCGGGATATATTTTTTAACTTTGAGCATAGCTCCTTCTAAATCAAAGGGGTTAATTTTCTCCTCAGGCTGTAATTTGGAATTTGGCAGCTCTGGCTTCCTGGTTTTGATTTTAAGATTTTGTTCCCTTACAGGAGGGCACACACCCTTAGGGGGTTCTTTGTCCTTTAAGATGAGTTTTACCTTTTTGTCCCTGTAGTATATTTTCACCCTTTTTTATCACATTAGCAACAACTGGGTCACAGTGTCTCTGGGATAAGATTTCATCAATTAAATTCCAGTAGGAAAAGGCCATAACTGGGACCTTTTCAGATCCAAAAGTCTCATAATAATCCTTAAGGGCATCACCAACCCTTTTCCATCGCCTCTGATCAATAGTCCCTTCAATAGGGAACCATGGGCAAACTTGTTTAATATATTTAAAATATTGACACAAATCCTTAATTTTAACCTTTACTCCTCACGCCTTTAATGCTTTGCTCAAACATTTTGTAAATATCTCATGTTTACTTAATGCCTGTCCCATTGCCAAAGGGAAGGGAAAGGGGGTGCCGTCCGCTTACCGAGGTTCAGACGTTGCAGCAGGCAACTGCAGCGTGGGCCTCTTTACTTTCTCTCTTGCTGGCTCTCTCGGACGGTTCCATCGCTGAATCCTCCATACCAGGTGTCCCACGTTGGGCGCCACTTGTCCTGAACCAGTGGGTCAGTCAACGAAGGTCACCTGGGAGAGGAGTGGGGAATTGAGGAGGGGACAAAGGACAGGAGACGCGAGAAATGGAGACAAGACAGGATTCTGATCAAGTCTCGTTTATTGAGGGGAGGTGCTGGGTATATATAGTGGAGGCGCAGGGAAATGACGTCGGCGGGTAAAAGGCGTGAGTAACTAGGCAACCGGGCAAGACAGGAAGTCCCACCTCCAGGGCATAGCAGGAGACTTATGGGAAATAGGCGGGGTAAGGAGAATTAGGAGCTTAGCTCAGCAGAGGTAGGGGAAGAGGAACCCGGAAACCCGCTTGCAGTAGGATTGGAGGCCTGGAGTTACTGAGCCTCCCACACTAGAGCTGTGACCCACAGCTGCACAAGCTTTTGTGCGGACATAGGAAGAGCTCCAGGATCTTTTTTGTGTGTGGCCGGTTGGTGCCACATGTGGTACTTGGGATCAAACCTCGGTCCCTGCGTGCTTGCCTGAGTTTGCTTAAGCAGGGTTTCTGGACCACTGAGCTATTTTACCAGCCCTCCAGGATCTTTCATACTAGTCAGAAAATGCTTCCTGCCCTTGTTCTGCTCACAGCAGTTGATGGGCAAGAACTGAAAAAATGTATTTTTAAAGTAAAATAAAAGGGAAAACCAAGTGGAAACAAGCTGATGAGCAAGCGACCTGCAACTCCAGGCCTCGGTCTTCTGTGGCTCTCGTAGCTGGCTCACAGCCAGGCCTGGCCCACCTTCACACATTCTCTGTGTTATGCCCTGGGTGGGTCCCAGGGTGGTATCACATCCAGTAGCCCAAGTATACTTTCATGTAGCCTCCCTGCCAAGCTTAATGCTTCTTAGTCTGTTTATGTGGGCTCTTTTGCTGCCTTTCTGTGCTCACTGCATTTTTCTCCATTCTTTATTCTGCAGTCAGTGATACTCCCGTGTCCCTTCCTTGCAGGAAATGCTGCCCATCCCAGGACACAGACTGTTGAGTTTCCGTGATCCGCAACTCCTGCGTCTGTGAACACACCATGTCCCTTGTGCCCGTGTGCGGGGCTTGAGCCAGCTCTGCCAAGGGCAGTCTCTCCTGTGCACAGCCTGCTCTTGCTCAGATGCCAGCTGAAACATTCCACACTTTCACCCTCACAATCCTCCTGGTGTCCTGCAACTTCGCTTAGACTTTGGTCACACACGTCGTACACTCGAGGCCTTGCGGGCACAGGGACTGTCCAGGCAGGTGTGTGTTCAGCACCTTAAAGAGCACCTGGGCACAGCTGACACCCTCCACATGCTTAGCAGATAAAGGACTCGTGTGCATTGTCTTCTCTTTGAGATTACTCTGGGAATCCATGCATAGCAGAGACGCGGAAATGAAGTGCGTTGGAAAGTCTGAGCTCTTTTTCCCACATCTGTCTCTGTTAACGAACTGTTCTTTGAATTATTAAGCAGTATGTAGATAGCGTGGTATTTACATAAATTCTGGCACGAGACTGACTCAAATTCAAATTTTGCTACTTGCAGCAGATCGTAAGCAAAGAGGCCATGTCTGTTTCCTGAGGCCCAAGCGGAAGCTTTTATGACGGGGCTGATTTGGTCAGGCTAGGCTAGAGGCGCTAGAGTGTGCAGGTGAAGTGTGCTGCCCTGCTGGCTCAATGTCCAGCTGCCGCCATCACGTTCACCGCGCAGGAAGACCAAGGTCTGCTGCACCAGCATACACCTGGAGGCTGTCTGCGGCTTAGGGCAGGGCTGGAGGACAACAGCCTGCTGCGGCACGTGTGCCACGGGGCCTGCCGCACTGGCTCAAGAGCTGCACGGTGCCGCATCCCAACACAAATCTGACTCCAGAAGCCCTCGCGATCACGCTTCTGGACCCCCAGGAGGTGGCCACCCCGCTGCAAGGGACGTCACTGCCACCTGGCCCTGTAAGGAGTCTGCCCCATCACTGCTGAAGCCGGGACAGGCTGAGGCCAGAGAGTCCTCTCTGGGACTCTGCTCTCTGCGATCATGCCTTTCCTCTGCTGGCTCCCGCTTTGCTCCTAGAACAACTAGTTCCGAGTCCCCTCGCCACACTTGTGCATTACGTACCAACAGCTTCAACAGGTTGATTTTTCTTGTAAGATGCTCTGCATTCTCAGAGACCACTTCTGCCCCTGGAAAGTGGCGAGTATGATCTCCAAGAGAATCCACGCAGTAACTGGGCCTTACCAAACATGGCTGACACCCTGAAGATGTTTCTAAGCGTGTGGGTGGAGCTGTCTGGCTCCTGGTCCCTTGATGTGGCTCTCCCTGAACACCAGCCGGCTGACACCACACCTGGCTGCCATGATGTGTGCACAACTGGGGTCGGGTGCCGGGCCACGCTGGATACCGTGGCTCTGCAGTGCTGGCTTCCCGGAGAGCAGGCAGCAGGTGTAGGTTGGGGAAGGCCATCCTCTAGGATGCTTTTTCTGCTAGGAATACTACTGGACAGGCAATTAGAGCTTGCTTCAATTCACATAATAAGAGTATCAGATAGCCGTTAACATTTGAAGAGTGTTTATTGATATGGGAAAATGCTCACAATTGTTATAGAAAGCAGGATACAAATCTGTAAATACAGCATAATCCCAATCTTGTAGTAAAATAAATTATATATATATAGAAAAATACAAGGAAATACACTAAAATATCAACAGTGGTTCTCTCAGAGTGCTGGGCTTTGGGGCAAATTGTTTTGTTTTCTGCATTTCCCAAGCTCTCTAGAGCGAACATGTTACTTGTACAAACTCAGGAGAAGTTGAAACAGCGATACCGTCTGGGGCGGCAGCAAGCCCACTGCAGTCCTGGGGGTTTCACATCACTTGTGCAGCCTCAGTCGTCTCCTTTATAAAGGAGGACAGGTCACTGTCCACCCACCACCAGTGGCTGTTCCTCATCTGCTACCCCAAAGTCTTTCAGGACATGTTCTTCCAGGCTTCACTTCCAAGGTCAGGAGGGCCATGGCAGAGGCCTGCCATGTGTGCTGGCCAGGGACCCTGGCTGCCCCACCATAGAGAGGGAGCCTGTCCCCTGGCCCGACCTAGCCCCAGACAGTCCAGGTCATCTTTTGAAACCTAGTGCTAATCTGGTGAGGTCTTTGCTCCCACTCATACCTCATGTGGCCTTGTCTTGCTGAAGCGGTGACTGCTTAAGAGGGCCAGAGGACAACCCCTCCCGGCCCACTGTCCCCTACAACCCAAGGCCTGGGAGGTGAGCATGGCCCAGGTATGTGGTGGCAGGGGAGGGAAGGTGTGGGGTGGGGAGTCGCGCCCGCCAGAGGCTCCCCACCTCAGGATAAGGCAAGGCCCCAGGACAGACACAGAGAGACCCACACATCGCGAGCATGCCTTCTCTTTCCATGTGCCAAGTTAGGCCACTCGCACATTCTTCCCCTGCCAATTTTTCTTTGTAAAAAGGAAAAAGGCAAATGAAACAGAACGCAAGCAGAACAGGCCTGCCCTGCCAGTTGGGAGGGTGGGCTTTCCTTAGATGTGCTTCTTTATGTAAGCTCACACCCACACTAAAGCCACATGACTGGAGAAAGTATAAAAATGCTTCAAAAATGCGTTTGTAGGATGAAATAAAAATGCCTATACATTTTTTCCTTGAAGTTTTTTCATTTATTTAAAATGATTAATGGCCAAGTTCCATTTTATTTGCTGTTGATTGAAACATGGGTCATTCACAGTCTGTCCCTCAATTATTTTGCATGAAAATCCTAAAATGTGTTTATCTTTCCCAGTCTTTTATTAAATATTTTTATCTTTTAATTAAGGGTTTAATTTATTTCTTTAAACAAGAAACTCAGTGTCATCATTATGAGACCTACACGTATTCTCTAGGCCAGCTGCAGTCCTCCTTTGTAAGGAGAGAGTCCCTGACTTGCTATGCCTTGAAGAGTTTTTAAGTTTTTATCCTGATATCTAGTTTTCAATAGAGATTTTTTTGGCTAGAAAACCAGATTCTTTAGCATATTAAAAATGTATGCAAATGTCAGCGAAGAGGCGAAGAGCGAGCTCCTTGGAGGCTCCGGCGCAGGCAGCAGGCGCCGCCCTCGCTATCTCCTCGCAGCCTGAAGGCGTCAGGCGAGCTGCTGGCTGGGCTCGGGCTCACCAGAGCAGAAACTTGGGCACAGGAATTCTCACTGATCCGCCACATACTGTATCTACCCTGAAAGCTGTCATGGTGACCAGTGAGCTAACAAAGGACGAGGACTTCTGAAGATCAGACTGTGAGCGGGTTATCCCTCAGCCCTGCGAAGAAACACACAGATGTCTACATTGAATCAACCCCAATGTTTTATTTAAAGTTTTAAAAGGCAGTGGTTAAGCACATTATCTATGTGTGTATATATATGTATGTATGTGTCCCTATGCACACGTACGTACATACATACATACATACATATAAAAGGAAACCAACCCTTTTCAACTTCAGCCATTGATTTACTAGGCCCACTGTCTACTGGATGAGTACATTTCTACTTCTTCATATGACCAGTTCTAACAGTAAAAATAAACAGCCTTAATCAGTTTAATAGTAACTATCTGTGTTTCTTTTTTTAATAAATAAAGTTACCATTAAACTGATCGCATTTGGTAGAAAGGTAGCACACACACGCGCACGCACACTCCCGCACACACACCCGCACACACGCTGCCCCCAGTTTAAAACGCAGGACGGATGAACGACGTTTATGTACAAATGGGTGCTTTCCCAGTCCCACAACTTGGGGGGTCTCTGCTCCCTCTGCAGGCGGAGGATGTTTGGCTCCAACAGGCTGGTGCTGCCTCAGGGCGCACACTCCCCATGCTGGGGTCCAGATGGTGGTTTGGGTCTGTGGTCTTAGTGTTTAGGTGCGTCAGGGAATAAATAGGCACTTGAAGCTGCCTGGAACAAAGCCACTGTCCGAGACGCTCCACAGGGAGGGTGTGTCGAGAAACTGCAGCTCAGGGACACAGGAGCACTTAGGGGAGACAGGCCTGAGTCTGGGGCTCTGCGCGCGTGTGTGTGTTTCTGAACATATAAAACTGAAATGGGGAACGGGGCTGGCTCACAGAGCAGCTGCCTGGCTTCCGTACCACCAGCCCGGCCTGGGCGCCCTGCTCAGCCCTTACCGACCAGCTCACCCTGGACCTCCGGCAGCCGTGGACTTTCACAAGGGGCTGCTCACCCAGGCAAGCCGGGGAAGGGCACGGCCGCGTGTGCTGCTCAGAAGCTAGCAAAGAGGACTGCAGACTTGCCAGGGATGCCGCGGGACGAGGTCCTTGGCTGCACCCCACTGGGACAGAGAAAGCTGCTGCCTCCAGCCCCTGTAACACTCTACCGCAGCTCAGAACAAATGCCTCAAAATCGCAAAAACACAGGATCACCTCTTAAATATGCTGGAGTCTCAACGAGTAAACCAGTAAATGTGTTTCTAGCCAAAGCAGGGCATAAATGTTTTAGAGAAAGGATTCCCCTGGAGCTACAGAGAAAAGCTGCTGATAAAAGCGACACTGAGCGCAGAGCACACGAGCCGTCAGTCTGTGTCGGAGCTGGTCTCTTCAATGACAGAGTACTGGCTGAGTGCTTCCTCCAAAGGCGTTATTGTCCCATCAGGCTTTAGTCCCATTGGCTTAAGCAACTCTTCTCTGGAAAAAGATAAAAGAGAGAGAAGAAAAGGTATTCACCAGCATCACACACGCACCCCTCCCCCACCCGCCCAAATCCACGTCCTTTTTAAAAGAAAAGTCTTTAAAAACAACAGTATTTTTTCTCAAGCTCTCTCTGTGTTTGTAATAGACAAAAAGGAGCATAGGCAGAAAAAGAAGAGATAAAAGACTTCATCCACGCGGGCCAACCTACTAAGCCAATTAAAAAGACGGAAAGGCAAGGTCTGAATGGGCTCAGGACAAGGCGCAGGCGCTCCTGTCCTGAGTAAGTCATTTTTCTGTCTTTTGGGGAGTCCTTCTGTTCTGGGGAGGCAGAAGCGGCCATCATTCACCCACCTAGGCATGCGGTGTCAGCGGCCATGTGCACAGCCCGGTGTCAGCCTGCTCTGCTGCCAGTCTCTGTGACAGTGAGACTTTCCACTAGCGGGCCTTCCCCAACTTTCTTTTTGCTTCCTGACTCTTTCCTTCTTTTTCTGGTACAGAACACCATCGCTTTTGTTTGTGGAAGTTTAATTACGGGATTGACAGCCATTTTAATCTCTTCAAAGCTCCCCACTGCCTCTTTGCCAGTAATCCAATTACATCTACTCCACAAGTTACAGCCCATCTAAAGATGATTAATTATTAAGTCAATCTGAAAGCATTAGGAAAGACTTCTTCCATCTTTCCATAGACTTTTATTTACTACATGGGATTATGGCCAAGTCACCTGTAGAGATGTTAACTCTGGTCTTCCTCCCACCACGTACAGAACAGCTGTGCATGGAGGAGGGCTGAAAACCGGCCCTCCAACTGCTGGAGGGGCTTCTCACAGAAATGGGCATTGTCCCTTGGAGACAGGACGGCAGCAGCCCTCCCGCTCCCCTTACTTCCTTGTTCTGACTCCTTAGGCCAGCACAAGAAGGGCAGCCACACAACTGGGTGACAGTGAGGCAGGCAGTATCACCTGGGCAAGGTGATGCCCTCAGGAGCCTCCTCGGCTGGCCACTCTGGTGAGCCCCAGAGACTGCTGCCCCAGCTGGCAAAGGCTAGCTGGGAGAACCCACACAGCTAGCTATGCTGGGGCTCCCTGATGCTAGGAAGCAGCAAAGTTTCCTGACTCACAATGCGGGGTCAGAGTCATAGTGCTTCCAACTGGTAGGGGCCTCAGAGATCATTTAGCCCAACCCCTTTCGAATGAAGGAGACTGAGTGACTTACCCAAGGTCACTTTTCTAGTGGCACATACCCCATGAGAATTCACTGCGCTGACTACACCGCAGGGCACATCCTGAGCTCATCTGTGTAAAATCTACTCAGTAACTGCCTGACAGGGGCCATGTCAGAGATGGGAAGAAAGGAACACCAGTGTGGCTGCTGCCCTTGGGGGGGAGGGGGCAAATCTATGGAGCACAGCTTGGAACGTGGAGAGGTAAATGCTGAAGAGAATTCTCAACAGGGAACCGTGGCAGCCCCTGTGGGCAAAGCATCAGCCGAATGCTGGGAGCATGTCCAGCCCCAGGCAAGGGGCGGTGCGTCTGAGTAGAGGTGGTATGCGAAGGCCTCCGTGCAGGCCCACCATCTTGGGTGGGATGCAGGTCAACTGGATTGTGCTGGCTCCCTCTTCCCACTTTTTCTGAAGATGGAAACGGCCAGTAGTTGGGAAATGAAGAGGGTCAGTGAAGGGATGGCAGGAGAGCAACTGAGGGTCTTAACTGCCAAAGGGAGGAGCTGAGATTTTCTCCTATAAACAGTGTCTGATCACGTTTGTTTCTTCTGGCAGCAGCGTGGCAGACACACTGGAACAGGTGACAGAGATGAGTCATTAAGAGCCCATTGTTTCAATGTGTAGGAGGCAGCCGAGGGGGGAATCTGGCTGTGTTTGTGGGAAGAAAAGGTGACATTGCAGAGGTGGATCTGGCTACCCACTCTAGGGGCAAAGGCTGAGGAAGCGAAGTCTCAGTTCCTGTGGCTCCAGCTCCAGCGGAGGTGGCATTATCTTCTGGGGTCAGAACGCAGAGATGGAGCAGATTTGCTGGGGAGACGCTGGTAGCTCACAGGACATGAAAAGCTCAACTGCCCTGATGGCAACCAGGCGGAGATGCTGAGCAGCATGCGATGCAACATGTTCTCACTGAAGCCTCCCTCTGTGACTGATACGCACTCAGAACTGTAACCTACACCAACGTTTTCTAACTGTGCTAAGGGCTCTGTGGCACTGGCTTCTCTATCCTAGTACCGAGGCACAATCTGTTGGGAATGAAGGAGGGTGAAGGGAGGAGGAAGCCCAAGGCCCAAGGGTTTAGAGGGCTGAGGGCAGAGGCGGGCAGGCAGGGAGAGGGAGCAGGGGCACTGGCAGATGGCGCTAGTGGGCTCTACGAAGGAAAGAGGTGAGCTGGGGGTACGCACCCCATCACGAGGGAGGGACACCGCCATACCTCTCTGGTAACTGGACGAAGTCCGCAGTCTCACTCACTGATACGCAAGAGGGGCATCTTCCGATCAAGTCTATCAGCTATCCCTGCTCCCTAATCCAATTTACAATGGAGATCTTAAGAACTTTGCACAGTTCATAGCCAAACTATGGGGGCTCTTTTACAAACTAATGGCCCCTGTACTGCTCTAACTCTCACTCGGGAATGCTAAGACTCAAGTAGTCATTGTTTTGTGTTCTGTCTCTCCCCTCCATTATAATAGAAACTCCTCAGAAGATGTGACTTTCGACTTTCTTTCCTACATGGCTCCATGCCTTGCTGGGGAGCCTGGCGTCTCTAGGAAAGGCGTCAATGAAAACTGGCCTTGCATCTGTGCAAAGGGACTAAGGCAGTGACGTGAGGCGAGGAGAGAACAAAGCGGTCTGAGGTCTGCAAGTCGGCGGCCGCCCTGTGCTCTCTGCACGTCCGTCTGCACTCCCCCAGCAGGGAGGTAGGGTGCTCACAGTGCCATCTCTACCTGCCTACTCCCCAGTGCTGAGGTAATGGGTGCAGTCATGGTGTGGCAACAGCGTCAGTGCTCATGTAGGGCAAGGAGCCCCGTGAGCTGTCGAGGGCTCCAATACTCATCTCTATTGTGGTGCTGTAAAAAGCACATCTAGTTTTTCGGAGTCACACCTGGGTTCTAACTCTGGACTCATCACTCACTAACTGTAATACTCTGACCTCCCTTAATTCCGATTTCCTTATGTGGAGAATTAGGATCTGGACACCCACACTTTACTAAGTCACCACAGAGACAAAAGCCACTACATGCAGTGTGCGGGGTGATGGCTGGGCAGAGCTGGCATCCATTAGTGTCACTCCTGTTCCTAGGTGCTTACAGTTTCCCATGGAGTAAGTGGGGGAGGTGGGAAGAATATGCAAAGTCACATAATGACATGGTCCCTGTCCTCAGGAAGCTTTCAAATAGTTCAGAAGATAAAACACACACAGACACACACACACACACACACACACACACACAGACACACACACACACACACACACACACACACAGACACACACAGACACACACACACATTAAACAATACTGAAAGAACTACAGAACAGCAGACCAACAGGCTTGGAAGATTAGCAGGCAAAGCCCTGCTTCTCCTACACTTGATAGCTTATCCATCCACCTTTCTGCATGTTAACCTACTGAAAGGAGATTTCCTGTTCTGTTGGGGAACAGGAGTGGATCCTTTACAGTTATGTCACCTTCCCATGGACCCCTGGATTATTTTTCTTATTACCGTGCTGATCTTTTCTGATCTTCCTCTCTCCTAAAACTAGCAGCCCACAATATCAAAATGCAAACTCTGACACAAAGATTCACTCCTAAAAGGCCTGGTACATGACTAGTGTTATCAGGCTACTTGATGGCCTCCTAATCTACATCAGCAAGATGCGGACAGAGAACGGGAAGCTTTACTGAATGTCACAAACGATTCTTCACCAGTCATATGGGCCGTGCACATGTCTGGGCCACAGGAGGAGACAAGGACACTGACTCCAGGCTCCATGAGGAGGTGGACCCGGGCCGGGCTCTCTGGCAGTGATGGGCACGGACTTATGGGAAGAAGCATCCCAGAGCAGACGAGTCAGTCAAGCAGAGGCACGGAGCAGGAGTTAGTCACGTGCAGCCCTCAGCACGCAGGCTGGCTCGGCCGGAGAAAAGGACAAAGCAAGCTCAAAAGAGAGATGGGGTACAAGAGAGGGTCTGAATGGAGACCTTGAGTCTTAGGCTGCCGAGTCTGCTATGATGCAGGCAGGAAGGTATTTTTGTCTTCTATTTCAAGACCACCCATACACAGTTAAGGATATTTGTCAAAAATAATTGCCATTACAAAGTTTGAAAGCTAAGAAATAATCCTGCTTGGACATATTAAAAAGAAAATCGTCCCACGCCTTCCTGGTGCACTCCCACGTGCCTAGCACAGGGCCTTGCAGGCAGCAGAGCCTGGCGGTATCTGTGGATTCGGCTTGGGCGGCAGGACCTGCTCCTGCTCTCTCCCAGTTAGGACAGTGTGTGTCTTACGGACACCTCACACTGAGCCACAAGCAAGAGCTAGCTAAGTGAAAGATTCGCCTCACCACCAGATCTCCAGAGTGACGAGAGTTTCTAACACTATAGGAAGGACTGCCAACGCTTCCCAGGCATTCCTTGTTTGCTATGTGACTTGAGCACCTTGAGGGCAGGGTCTATGTCTTATCTGGATGTAATCTGGCAGTATCTAGCGGAGGAAGAGCACCTTCGGTGCTTAGTAAATGTTTACTGGGAGAACCCAGCACATGGGTGGTGGACAATGGAGAATGGGAGAGAACTATTTACCAGGCGTTCTCACTATGTAACTGGAGTCATTGGACAGAAAGCCAGCAGACGTCAAGCCCTTTTTTGACTGTGTAGCCAGGCAGTTCCCACCCCCAGTGCTACAGAGGTGGCTCTGTGTATGTGTGGGCATCAGAAGAGCTGTGCTCTGGTCGCAGATGTGCTGCTCGCTTGACATGTGTCCTTGGCAAGTCATTTGCCTTTCTGGGCTTGAGTCTCCCAGTCTGTGAAGTGAAGGCTGGACAAGATGATCTCTAGTACTCTATACTCATCTCAGCATACTAAGTATAAGACTACCAGACAACACTGAGCTATGGGTCTGTGTAATAAGCTACTAGATTTTTAAGACACTCCAGCTCACTATTCTAAGTCTGTTTCTACTCAAGATATTCTAATCATAAGAGCCAACACACTGTCCTATCGCTGATGTACATACACCAAGACCACAACCCTTGCTGCAGTCTGTCAGCAAACAAGCAAAATATTATATAGGCAAATCAGAGTAAAGCTAAGTGTTACGCAGAAGGATCCACATTCATGGCCCTCAGGTCACAGACCATCTTATGAAGTTATTACTAGTCCTACATTTATGAAGTTTCTATCTAAAAAGGATGACTAGGTGTCAGATATATATGTACATATATATCATGATAAAATGGAGTTACTGTACACTGAAATGTGTATAAGGATTAAGATATTCACATAGCAACAACTCCTTCATACTTACCTTCAATGCTATACACAGGCCTTAACATAGGTTAAGACTGCCCTTGTTATCATCAAAAAGTACAGTGATGTCTACTGGATAAAGAGCTCATTCTAGGCTCTGTGACAGTATCATGGCGGGCTTCTCATCTGATCAGGCATCTGGCCAGGGAAGAGATAAGCCTCCAAGAATGTTCAACTGGAACGAAACATCATTTAGAAATTTGATCTTACTAAACGATAAGGAACCATAATCTACAAGGGCTTGGCCAGGCAAGAGGACACAGATAAAACACGTCCAAAAAAGGAAACCCTATTTTGCCCCAGCCAAAACTTTGGGACTACTAATGTTAGAGACCAAAAATACTTCCCTAGGGGTGGAAAAATATGGGGATTATACATATTTAAATTTTTCTGGTGTGCTTTTTCCCCAGATTTTAACGTTTTCCTGAGCCACCACTCTCCTGTGAGTAGAGTACTTGGGATGCCTGGGGTTATCCAACTTCTCAGAGCTCAGACAAGGTCCCACTCTCCAGGGCTTCTGGTTCCTTTGTGCCTCTCCCCCAGCAATGGCAGTGCAGTATTTGGGCTCAGAGTCTACCATACCCAATTGCACATTACAGAGCAGGTCATATGCGGGTGCACATAAACACCTTACTTGACCTGGAAGCAAGAGAGTACGCTTGCCCACAGCACGTCTTTGTGCAAGACAAACAAAGCATTCACTTCAAGTGCACTTGTTGGAAAACAGGACATAATGAAGCAGTTGGCAAAATGCATTCTTGTTTCCCACTTGCAGATCTCCCAAGAGTCCCTTCGAATTTACCTATACGAGTTTCAGCTTCCCGCTTGCCACTTAGCTTGATAACGACTCAAAAATCATTCCCTTGTTTTCAAGGGCTCTTCTTTCTTGTCTGCTCTGTGTACTACAGGGCAGTATTGACACATGGAATTAATGACAGGGTCTGTAATGAAACAACAGTCATGCAAACACCAGTCTGCTCTTTTGATAAAACAGCATGTTAGAGACCTATTCACCTCCCTCTAATTGAGTGCTGCATAATAGTTCCGATCCTTTTATGTAACATATTTTGTTCTATGATTAGAAGAGAAGAAAGGCGGGAAACCCTACGAGGCACTGCTTCCTTCAATCACCCTGATTAAGTCTCTGTTTTAATGAGGACTGCTATTTGGGCAGGCTCTGTTACATACTTGTTTTGTTGACTTCTGTACAATGCATAACAAAACCCAGGACAGGATAATTGCGAACCATTTCTTTGGCACAGGGATTCCTGGTCTTAACGTAAGGTTGGCTTGGAAAAAAGAACTCTGACATTTTAAATGAGCCATTCATATTTAATTCCTTTTCATGTTTGAAAGATGGGATGAGAAATAAGTATATAAATAATACATTTTAATTAACACAGAGCTTTTCCAAAGATGCCTGCTGCAGCAGAGCCTGTGACAGCCCAGAGAAAGCAGCCGTAGTATGAGCTGAGCTCTAAGTCTTGAGTCTAGGATTGCAACACTGCAACAATCATAATCCATTCAAATACAATGGACTTGTCAGTCACGTGATATTCTCAAACATTTTTTAACCCCTTTTTCCTCACAAAAATTACATATTCTTTGGGACTGGTCATCATGTCCTATGAGACACTGTGATGGTGTCCTTTGGGCTTAGGCCCTGGTTCTTCAGGTCTTTTTCTGGGTCCTTTATCTAACGGCTTCCCAGCACTGGCTGGTTAGACTGATCTTTCACTAAGCTACCAACCCAGCAGGGAAGAGGGGTACCATCGTTTTTCCACAGCAAACTTGGGGTCTTTCTGCTGAATCATTCAGAAGAGACCGTGGAAGTCTTCCCTCAGTATTTGCCATCATACTTGAGAACTAGGTAAGGCTTGGAAAGTAAAATATGCTGTGTACAAATATCATTTCCAAGCCCACATGATATGGTGCAGAGTTAACTAGGAATTGTCTAAAAGTCCCGAAGAGAAGCCTTTTTCAAGTTAGGTTTTATAAGTCTGGTGATATGTATGAAATTTGTTAAGATACCAATCTTCATTTTCTCTTTCTCTCTCTCTCTCTTTCTTTCTTTCTTTCTTTCTTTCTTTCTTTCTTTCTTTCTTTCTTTCGGCACTACCGGAGATTGAACTCAGGACCTTGCACTTCCCAGGCAGGCACTTATTCTACTGGGCTATCTCCCCAGCCTTTTCATTTTCTCCTTAAAATAATTAAAAACTTGTTTTAACTCATAGCCTTTACTATTTTACTTCATACATTTTTTTGGATAAGCTGTTCAGCACCTGGCCTGCTATTTATCAAGAGCTCAACTACAGAGTGGAAGAGTGGCACACCCTCAGCACGCTATCCCAGCCTCCGTTTCTTCTGAGGTTAGACGCTCACTGTTTGGTTTCTGTGCTGTGTATTTATACAAAATTGAGAAATCTTACTTAAGAATGGCCAGCCTGACAAACTTTTTAAGTGTTCTTAGTAACTTTTCAAAAGAGCATAGCATCGAGTGAAGGATTGAGGACTGAGCCCTGGCACACCTGAGCCTGGTCAGTTACTGCCCCTTTGGTGCATTTACTCCTTCACAAAATACCTCTTGTCCTATTCAATTCACAGGGCTGTTTTAAAGCACAACAGAAATATTAGGGTTTTAAAACTTATTGCTCTCATTACTTTTTGAAGATTACAAGCCAAGCTTCTAGCTACGTGCTACCCACCTCAATAGAGTATGATTTAAGACAAGGCATATTGCTGGAAATTCAATTTTATGCTTAGGTGATGGTGTTATTATTTCTCGGCAATTTACTTATAATACTTTTCTTCCCTGTTGTGTGAATTAGCAAAATAAATATTAATAAGAGTTCCGCACGCCAATGAACTGTGTTGAATGACGCAGTAGAAATGGAAATTCTCAGATGCTTTCCCAATCAGGAGCACATCAGAGTTACAGAGGAAGGTAACAGAGGGGCCAGCAGCCAGTGCAGTCTTCTCAGTCATGTTCCTTTAATGGTCAAAAGCCATCGCAGCTGGTGCTTTCACCAAGGGCTCTAAGCAGTCATTCCTACTGTAGTCTAGAGGGCGGTGACTGTCACCGGGAAGACAAAGGCAGCGTGACATCCTTGTTAGGTGCCTGATCTGGGAAGAGCCCTTGGTAATCTAAAGGTATATATCGAGCTTTTCTGGTTTATTCTTTGCAGCCCCTATAAGGCTGTATTCAAATACCTGGATCCAAGTCCCCTTAAGTGAATTTCCAAGCAACCTTACAGCTCACTTTTAATAATGCAGAGGAGAGCTGTCTAATACCAATATAATCCAAGCCACAATGGAAGCCATATATGTAATATTAAATGTTCTAATAGCCATACTGAAAAAACAGGCAAACTTAATCTTAATAGTATATGCTATGTAATCCAGAGTATAAGAAGTATTACACTTTCAACACATAATCCATACTAAACAAACAGTGAGCTATTTTACATTTGCTCTTTGGTAGTAAGTCCTTGAAACCTGGTATTTTACATTTAAAGGGAATCTCAATTTGAACTGAGCATACTTTCAGTGCTCAACAGTCAAGGACGGCTAGTGGTTACCATTCTGCACACTAAGATCTACGAAGGGTTTTCTGCGAAAGCAGGTAGGTCTCCATGCTTTCATATATACACAGACCTGCCAGTGCATTAACACTGGGCTGTGCTTCTGAAAGGTGCATGCAAGGCACTGTCTGGACCCTCCACAAGGGAAGATAAAATCACAGTAACTAACCCTTCTGTAAGAAAATAAGATAACTTTAGAAGGAAAATGTTACTTTTAAGATACAAATTACACTCAGCCTTAGTTAAAAAATAATTTGAGTTAAAGGGAACTACTCTTATATTTGGTACTTCCACTTATGAAGGAAGCCATGTCCCAAATGTTATGGCTGACAAAAAATAAAAATAAAGAAGAAATCATAGTATTGGCTAGGGAGTAGATGAAAAAAGGAAGAAATGATACAACAATTTTTATATGTCTTTGAATTTTAAAATGGTAAAATATATACTCAAATAGGCACTGTACCTTGTTAAGCAGTTATGGAGTAAGGGTAGGGTGGAACATTAATCAATTCTGGTTCTGATTAAGAGCTCAAGGGGATTAGAGAAGTCAAAACAAAACTGGCTTGCATACTGCTCACAAGTGTGCACCCCTCGCTATGAGGATGCTGTGCCGTGCAGGCTGTGTACACAGCTGAGGCAGCTGCCGCTGTGCCAGGCCTGGGTGTGCTGAAGCACACACGGTCCCATCCCAGTGTTGCTCGAGTTGCAGGAGTCTACTCTGTCCCCAAGTCAGAGAAAGAGGTGCAGACACAAATTTTATCCTTCTCTACCTGTGCTCTCTCACTGTGAGCATCAAATGAAGCTTTCTGTGAACATCCCCCATGCTCCATGCTTATGTCTGATGAACAGTATGTGTATCTCTCTATAGTAAGAAAAGTATGTACCCAGGCACTTAACTTAGTCATGTCCCCAAGGGCCTTAGAGAATTTCTTCTCAGTCTTGGATTTTATGAAGTCTGGCCAACAAATGGGGCTCACAAAGTACACTCTACTTAGTATTGAGAACTGAATCACATGCTCTACCGTACAGCCATATTTTAAAGCACATTTTAAAATCATAAACCATATAGGCTATTTATAGAGCAAAAAATGTGACCTCCAAGTTTTGGGGGGCATCCTGGGAAAACCACAGGTTACAGGCCCTGTACTAGCTCCACACGAGGGGAGCTCAGGTCAGTCATTCTGCAGTTCTGAAGAGGTGCACCGTCAATCCCACGGAAGGGTAGTATAAACATCTGTCACAATGTAATCATGACATTAGAAGTAAAATCCCTTGAAATGCTAAGTCAGTCCGTGTGCAGGAGGAGGACAGTACCTGAGCACTATGCTTTACACTGTCTGTAGTTAGTGGGGACGGAGATGCTCAAGGCAGCGGCATGGAGGCAAGGTGGGCAAGTGACTTCCAGGTGGACAGTGGGGCTGCCATCTGTGGTAGTGAGCAGTGCACCTGCACCCTACACCAAGCTCAGTAACAGTACTTGGCATGACCAACCTTAGTCATCACTTTGGTAAGGGCTTTGGCACGGGCCACTGTTGCTAACCACCATCCTGGTGCGGGTCCTTCACATCTGCTCTCCTATGGATGGAAAAAAGCAAGTGTCTAGTGTCCGTGCATTGGCCACGCCACTCTAACCCTGTCCTTATGCACAACTCAGGTGCAGAAGAAAATAGTTTCACTTCCGAGACAGGAAGTTAATCAGACAAAGCTACGGTACACTCTTAGTACAATAAAGACAGGCTGAATGCAGTACGTCCCAGAGTGACAGCGGAGGGAGCTCACCGATAGCACAATGCTGAGAGCAGGATTAGGAAGTGCTCTGGCAGACACTGTTAGGTAACAGACAGACACAGGGACACAGTGGACAGAGTGGAGGTCTTGAGTTACAGAAAATGAAGTTCCTAATCTCACTTCATTTTGAAGCTAGAGAGAATGTACATAAAGCATTCTGTAAACTGTCAATAGGGAGCAGATTAGCATCAGTCATTAGCTTGGGAAAGTTCTGGGCAGTTCTTCATTCCTTGCTTCCCTTAATGATAAATTAACCCAAGCTCTCTGGAATAAAGATGCAGTGTGAGTACCAAATGTTAATCTCATTGGCAAGGTTAAATTTCCCTCCACCTGCAACAAATCCCATTCTTTACTTGTCCTGTAAGTACCTCCAGAACTCCTGGGCTCAGCACACATGCTACACCTTCCCCACAATCACTTCCTGACGCATCACACAGAACGAACCGCTCCTCTTCTCGGGTGCTTACAGCTCAATGGAGACCTCATTTGGGCATGATTTCCTTCTGTGCTGTATTCTAGAATGGACTGTAGCTACCTCCTCCACTGCAAAATGAGTTTTCCAAAGGCAGAGACAGACACATTTTCCTCGGACCCTCCTTGGGCTTCCTGGCTTACTGTTTAGTAGAGTAGCTGCTTAGTGAACATTCCCTGAATTGTACTGGATTTGGTCTACTTTGGCTTTATGGTATCTTTTTTCCCCCATAACCTTCAAAGAAAAAGTGAAGAGAGAAAAGAAACTTAAGACTAATGAGGGGTACAGCACAATAGACAAGTAAGACGCATAAAGAATGGCTTCATTCTTTGCATTCCTGCTTTGGAATGCTGGCTCTTAGTCTTCATACAGTTTTGTCACTGTGTGTTATTAGAGAGAGCACATGTTAGAAAGCACACAAAGGCAGATAGTGTCAAAATCCACCACATACCATGCAAAATGTCTAGGTGACCGAGGATTATTCTCAAGGCTATCTTTACTCCAACTTTAACAGCAAATCTGCTACCACCAAAGCCAACCCAGGACATAATTACTCCACTTTATTCATGAAAAACTGGTACCATCTTCCTACTGGGCTCAGCACCTGCTGCTGGCTCCAGGCAAACACGGCCCTTCTCTGAGGCACAGTTTAAGTCAGGGGGCAGCTGTGTACTTCAGGTCCAACATCTGTGGATTTACCTCTCGGTGCTTCTAAAATATGTGGGTTCTCCTGAGCTTAAGAAGGACCTAAAGGCTGGGGAGATGGCTCAGTAGAATGAGCACTTGCCTGGCAAGCACAAGGACCTTAGTTCAATCCCCGGTTCGAAAAAAAAAAAAAAAAAAAAAAAGAGACCTAGCACCTCTGTTTCTCTGGGCTGAACAGGGATGCCTTAGGACACTGGTGATGCCCATCAGGACGCCAAGTGTCCAGATTGGACTGCACAGTCCTAGGCAGTTATTTCCCCGTCTTCTATCATCCTAGCCTGAAATTTATTCCTTTACAGTAGATGGGTAGCTGCCAAGAATCTGCACTAACCTTTGCAAATTCATATTGGTGGTCAGAACGAGAAACTTATACGGCTTAACTGTCTTCCCGTCCTAAGCACCACTGAGCTCCCAGGCCCCACTGCAGCTGCCCACCCAGCCCCTCCCAGAGGACCCTGCTGGTGCTCATCGCACTCGTGCTAGTCCCAGCAGGCCTCTCCTAGAAGGAACCATGTGCACAGGTGTCTTTAGTTTTGCACATTCCTCTCTCCTGTTCTGGGGGACTAAACATGGGGTCCTGCACATAAGAAGCATGCACTGTACCAGAGCTACATTCCTAGCTACCATATCTTATTTTTATTCTGTCTTGTATAGGTTTGCCTTATCAGTAACTTCTTGTTCTTCAGGAAAACTATGTGTCTATTCTGCACAAAGGTATGGAAATAGGCAAAAATGTCTTCTCAAGATTTTTTGTTTTTTGTGATTCAGAAGGGCATGTTTAGACCTTGTCAGATACAAAAGTTACATTTCTTGTTATATATGTCTTAACCATCCAACAGAAAAGTATAAAAACGAGATATAAAAAGTAAAGCCATATTAATATGCTGGGCTGTAATAGGCTCATGTCAACAACTTATGACACTGCCAGTCCTATGGATAATCCACTACTATTATGGACTAGTGGACTATATTGGATTATTTTGCTGAATTCACACACCTACAATATTTACATGGTAATGGAATACCCATCTCTGACGAAACTAAACAAGAAAAGGGGATACAAATGAAGGACCATTTTGTATCTGTATATACAAAATAGGATAGATATACAGCTACTGTCTCTTAATTAATTGAGAAGAAAGATTTGTACTAAGAGTGTTTGGACAGGATATCCTGTCTGCATCTTGTACTATGAATAACCACTATGAAGACAACCATATGCAATGTATCTATTACTGAAACTGTCCTACTAATCGGTTTTGAAATAGTCTCATTGCTATTTCTTAATAAAATTAATTTAAGAAAAAAGAAGTGCATGTTTATTCAGTGTGCAAGCACTTAAGGACAGTCAGATATACATTCTAACCTTAGGAAAGGATGCAGACTTCAATGGGATAGCTGGCGGTCACTGATTCTAGTTACACTTTGTAGATAATGAAGTGTCTACTTCTCTAGCATGTTACCAGGGTCCTGTGAAAAGGCTCTGCCTGCAGAGTGTCAAAACCCCCGGCACCCTGCCTGCAGCCTCCTGCCCCTCCTGTCCTATGCTGAGCTGCCTGCCATGCCTTTTCCTGTGCCCGTTTCTTCTGTACACCTTTCCTTTTTGTGGCTGGCTTTCTGGATTTTCTTTTCCAACTGCTCTTCTCTCAGCTGAGGGAACCTTATCCTGTACACAGCTGTGGTGAGGAAGCGGATGATCAGGAGAAATTCACCTTTGAGTGGCAGGCACCACCAACACACAAGCACTCACTCAAGATGCTTCAAGTAGACAGTGACTCGGTGTATAACTAGAAAACAGCAATTCGGCCAAGTGTGACAGGAGTCATATCCTGATAACTCCTCAATATAGCTAGTTGATAATCAGTTCATACTTGATTCAATTTTTCAAAACTAGTTATTTTTGGAAGGGGAGCAGGTGTGAACCAAGAGGGGAAGAGCAGGTTGCTTTCAGAACCTCTAAATAATACAAGTTCTTGTTTTTAGAAAATCCTTCATTTGAGCTATTTTTTCATGTTTTCCTGTTGTGTGCATGACACTTTAGAATTTTTGGTTTCAGCAGCAACCCAAAAAAGTAGAATTGCAAATTTGCACATCAAAAACAAAAGGAAAAAGAAAAAGCGCATCATGATTTGGAACAATAACCAAAACAGATTAAAACAAAAATACAAGCAGCAGCAAAATTATTGAACCTAACTCACAGAATCTTTTTGAAGACAGGGAGGTTAGTCGGTTAAGTACTAACAATGGCCTAACAGCTACTTTCTCAGCTCTAGAGCTTGAACGTTTGGGAATGCACATCCAGAAGCGGCACATGTAGAAAACCCTTGGCAGCCAAGAGGTGCCGGCGCCACTGTGCCTGGGCCATCTGTTCAATCGTATGGGTCTCCAGAGTTGCTGCTCTACGGGAACTCTCAGTCAGAGAGACAAAGAAATAGTACATTTTTAGAAACCAAGCAAAAAATGGATGGGAATACAATACCTGGAAAGTTTATCAAGCATGTTGACAAGTTTCATGGCTTCATATTCTTTTTGTTCTTCTGTCATTTCATCTATGGGGTTTGGCATTGGTTCCTCTAAATGACCAGTGATAAGATTAATGCTACAAAAAGAAAAAAAAGTTACGCTGTACGTTTTAAAATTATGCTCTTTCTATACTTTTCTGGTCCAAGTTTTAAGTTATAATAAGAAAGAGTCTAATAGCCAAAAAATGGCAATAATTTTAATAGTAATTTTATGGTATGAACTGTTATTGGAATAAAAAATTATTTCTACTAATTTGCTTTGGGAAATGGGCTATAGTTACTGTTGTTTTAAAAAACTAAAATTGACTTGTCAACTTATTTTTTAAAGGCATGATGGTTTTTAAAAACGTAAACTTTGACTGGTGCCGTTGGATAAATACCCTTGGATGCACAGCTCATTCACTGATTATAAGGGGACAATGACTTCTGAGAAGGTGAAATGAGAAAAATCCACTTGTGATACAGCATAAAACAAACATGTCAAAAAAAAAAAAGACTGGAAAAATGATGACAGGCTGTAATCTGGAAATGAAGGCATGCCAACTTGTAATCTCAGGAAATTAGTCCATTAGTGAGACCACAGAGCAATGAGTATTCAAATAATAAGAGCTACAGCAGAAGAAGGCCTACATGAGACTTGATCTGACCCAGGTAAAAACCAAAAGGAATGAAGTCTAGCCCACCAATACCTGACACACCATCTTGGTTTTCTAGAAATAGATTTAATGCAGTATTTATAATGAATATCTTATATAAACTTTGTATGAAGTTCTAATGCTGAATCAATTATTTCTTCAGTAAAAGTTGCATTTTTTCTCTGAGAAAGGCAAATAAACAATAACTCTGAATGGCTGCTAAATAGCTGTAACTAAAACTTTTTTCTGTAGACACAAATGAGGTTAGAGTACCTTGTACTAGTCAAGTATAACAGTTTTCAGGGATCAGATTAAATATCTCTGCAAAAAGCAAACACAGGTAAGTTGTTCTGCAGGGGCTAGAGGGGCAACTGCTTTCAGGGCTGAGGCTATGCGGAGGATGATGAGCAGCCGAGCGATGGGTCACGTGAAGACGTCTGGCTCACTGGAGCTGGGTGAACCGGATTGCGGGGCTGCCCGAAAGCCGCAGCGCGCTGCTGCAGAGGCAGAGCGAGCAGTCTGGCCACGAGAGGGCAGTGCCAGACGCTGGTCTGAGACATCTGCGGGCTTAGCTACGTCCCTTTTGACCAGGGCTTTGCTTATGTGGAGTGAGCGCCAACTCACAGGACGAATGCTTATTCCTACTAGATTTCTTTCCCCAACATCCCACAGAAGCTACATAACATGCAGATTTTTGAGGAAAGCTCAGCCCTCAACATTTCTGGAAACCAAATTAAAAGCTACGGTGCTTTCTTGCATTGGGCCTATTGCTAGGGCCATAGTTAACAACATTTTCCCTTTATTTTTAAATTAATTTTTCCTGCTCCCTATTCCCCACATTTTCCCTTTTAGAAACACCATGTATAAATCAGACAAAAGCAGAATTGCTCAGGCAAAAGGGGGGACAGCTGAGGGGAGCAGAGCTCTAGAACCACTTCTGTTTGTCCCCAATTCCTGCATTCTCCAAAGGTACTCCTACGGAACTTTGAGGAACTCAACCCTGGGACAACCTAAAAACCGTGATTCTTAGCCCTGGCTCTACATCAGAATTATCTAGGAAAACAAACAAACAAACGAACACGTTTTTTGAAACAGGGTCTCACTATGCACTTCATTCCCAATGTAGCCCTGGACGGCCTCCAACTTGTGGTGCTCGTCCTGCTGCAGGCTCGCTACGGCTGGGATGACAGGGGTGCGCCATCACACGTGGCTTTATCTAGACTCTAAACTCTAAACAGTCAGCCTTCCCTTTGATCAACTCAACCTGTGTGTACTACAGTTTTCCAGGTGATTCAGATACAAAATGAGGGTAAGCATCACTGGAGTAGAGTGCGTGCTTCCATGCAATATTTTCTCTTCTTTTTCAGGTGCTCATAAAAGAGAAAAAGCCCTCTGGTTAAGGCCATCAACTGAAATGCTAAAAAGGTCATCCTCTTTCCCAACAGTCAAGCACAAAGCACTCAGAGAAGGCTTCCAGACACCACACTGGAAATGCAGCTTCACCATCACGTGCTCAGCAGACGGGGACACAGGTTTTACTGGCTTCCCTCTAGGCACCTGCCAAACTAGAGAAACACCTTGTCTTGGAATAAAGGCTGTCAGATACATATCACCTCCTGAGGAGACCACAGAAAAGAGGCTTTTGAAGAAAGCATCAGGGGAGGTAGGGAAAGCAGATCTACTACCTATAGGTCCTGCTTATTTTTCACTTGTTTTAGAAAAGGCATCTCTCAAGGTCAGTAGAGGTATGATGTGAAAAATAAGATTTGCAGGCCATTCCAGAAGACGACATAAGCACCAGTCACCAAGGAGGACACGCTGCTGAGCCCATGGTGTTGTGGCTACCACAGTACACAGCTACACAGAACTCCTGGAGTAGGACATGTTGCTTTTCTTAGTTATCTTACGAGTTGAATGGAAACGATATCCATTTTCAGTAAGCTGATCTTAAGGCCCCTACCTGCTAAAGTGATATAATGGCTTGCTCTGAAATGAGCTACAAAGGTAACAAAAGCTGTTGCTATCTGAGCTTAGAGCAACAGCAGCAGCCTCATATCCATTCTTGCAGTGTAAGAACACATCCTTCACCCATAGAGTGAAACATTCTAATGTTTAAAAGTGGCCCTAAGGACCCAGGTTTCACTTTTCTCCCTTTAAAAGAATATCCTCCCCCAGACCATGAGGCTCAGAAGAACACAGAGCCACAGAAAGGACAAGTCTGGGTGTGAAACTGTGCTATTCTTTCACAGAAAACCTGCCACTGTGCTAGGGCAGAAGGCAGGCAGACCCTGGCTCTCTGCTCCTGCTTTCAGGCCAGAGTCTAATGTAGCTTTCCTATCAGAAGAGGAAGAGAAAAAAAAAAAAAAAGTCACTATGACAACAATGATGCCAGTTTTCCCGAGATAATTATTTTCTGGTTGCACAAATACCTAGCACCTTTACAAACTCATACAGTATAGTCTGAGACTTGATTTGGCAGGTTTCAAGATCTCCACACTGTGAAACCTGGGCTTACTTTTATTTTGCTCCAGGACTGTCTTAGGATGCTGTGAGGATGCTCTCATGGGGCCCATTCCCCCGCCTTGCCCCTGCTCCCTCGTCCCCCCTTCCCAGGGCTCCCACGTTATGATTACTATGTTTTCCCATCAGGTAACAAGAAGCGTTGAAATCCCGTTATCTGTGGGCACCTGAGCGTAATTTTTAACAAGCTATACAAGGCTATTATATCAAACTATAGAAGGCCAACAACAGCTGAACCCTTGTGTTCTTAAATTCCATTCCCCGGCTGATACTTCTTAACTGGAGATGAACCTTATGGAGGAGGGACACTCAATCATCCTGGTACCCTAGAACAACATGGGTAAAAGCATTAAGATACTAAAAAGGGCTAAGCAAATGAATTCATGTAAAAGCTGAAGTATGCTTTAGGGTTTTTATTCTTTCTTCTAACTGCTGCTTTTTTCTGACCAACAGGACCTATGCTAGGTCATTTAACAGAAAAGATTCACTAAAAATTCCTTCAGTTGAAGATAATGAAAATTATCTTCAGTATCTAACAAGCAGAGTTTATAGAGCTCACTCAGAGCACCGCAGTGAAGACAGGAGCGGTACAGTTGAATCCTTATGGGCGGGGCAGGAGAGCGAGCAGGCAGTGCCCCCTCTGGCTTGAAAGGGACCAGGTATTCAGTCCCATACACAGGCGGCCATGTGAGAGTAGACCTATCAGAACTTCCTATTTTTCCAAGCAAGAAATTCACGTTTTCTTCTGAAATAACTGAATTCTAAATGTTGGCAACTAACTAAATTATTTTAAGAAGCAATGCAGAAAAAAATCATGCTGGCCAAGACAAAATATATTAGTGAAAAATCTTTAGAAAAATGTTTGTTTTTTGAAAAAAAAATTTGTAAGCCCAGAGCAGGAAAGAAAGGAGCACATGGGATGGGAAAGAACATGCTATCGGTACCCAGGGTTCCCTCGAGAATACGTGGCTCTGCCAACCCCAAAGAGAAAGAGCCAGGAACCATGTCCCGCTCTCCTTAAACTCCATTCCCTGCCTCAACTAGATGAAGGAATTCAATCATGGCATCCTGATATTGAGGAGCACACTGATAAAAAAAAAAAAAAAAAAAAATCAGTGAGCTCATCTTGAGGTGATTCCTGCCCAAGAAGGAGCTAGACAGGAGTGTGGGGTGGGAGAATGAAGCCGGCGGGCGGGAACAGCCTCGCTATAGAGGGGACATTTTCACAGCTGATGCGGTCCTGAAGGAGGGTAGGGATGGAGACACGTGGCCCATGAAGGACAGACGCTGGGTGAAAAGGATCCAGGCAAGAGCATGCCCATAGTGTGACGGACAGCAAAGAGAGGCCGGTGCTGAGATAGACACAGCAGGAGAAGCGGCAGGGGCGCGCCTGGCATGCTGCCCCCTCCTGGAAAGGCACCGAGGAGGTGCTGTGCTGAGAGCAGAAGGTGGAAGCCCAGGGAGAATTGCCGCACCTGCTGGGGCCAGGGTGGGGCTCAGTGCCGGAGTCCAGCACATGCGAAACCTGAGTTTGGTCCCTAGCACCGAGAAAAAAACAAACCACGATTATTTAGAAGGTTATTAAAAAGATTCTGGTGGTACTTTCTTGTAATCTCAACACTCTGGGAGGCTGAGGCAGAAGGACTACAAATTCAAGTGCAGCCTGAGAAATCAGTGAGACTTTATCTTAAAACAAACCAAAAAATAAAAAATAAAAGAGGGCTGAGTATATAGCTCAGTGCAAAGGTACTAGATTCCATTCCCAGGACCTGCCCCCAAAAGACAGAAAAGATCCTAAAGAGATAAAATTTTAGCTTGTGGCAATAATGCCCATAAACTGTGAGTCCCAAACATATCATGAATTTATCATGAACCAGAACTGTCTGACAGATATATGCGAATATTTACTAAATTAGAATTCA